GCCGCCACCAATTTGCTTAGTCTTTCAGGTGCCCCTGGACTCTTGCTCTTTTCTGCCGCTCCAGGCCTACTCACACGGCTGCCCATCAGAGTTCCCTCTAAGCTGAGTGAGTGCGAGCTAGCTCACAGTTTTTTAGCCTCCGGCTCACACATTTCTGTCTTCCCTCAGGAAGGATGGGGCTCCAGAGCAAACTGATTTGTGTGGCAGCCAAATTGCTCCCTCACCCCTTTAATGCCAGGAGCTCACAAAGTAGAATTTTTGCTCACAGGACTCCACAGCTTAGAGGGAGCGTTGCTGCCCATCTTGATCCGTCTGCACGCACCCGAGAGCATTCTAAAGCCGAACAGTGCGCAGATGGTTGCCATCGAAACATTGTGGGGCATATGAGGGCGGCAGGGGGAGGGGGGTTAATTCTGTATTCCCTGAACAGGGTCTACCACCTCTGACCGGGGGGGGGAGTTAATGTCTGGCATGTGGATTTTCTAGTGGGGGATGGACGGACGGCCAGTCCACCAAGCAAGATAAAATATTTTGCATACATTCACCTTTTCAACTTTATTTACTATCCGGAGACTTTTCAGGCTAGACGTTCCCACCCACCCCCCAACCCCAGATATCAGAGCAATCTGTTTTAAATTTATTTATATATTTATTTATTATTTCTGTACGCTATTTATAGTTGGCCTTTCTCTCTTGGATCACACAGAGTGAGTCAAGGCAGTCAACAATCAAGGACACTCAATAAACCATGAAATAGGGATTTGGGTTGCAGAAAGGCACCAGAAGTCTAAAAACAGAACTGAAGCAAAGCCTAAGTATTAATAAGGCTCGTTAGATTGTGCATATAGTTCCATAGAAGTTAGCTGTGTTAGTCTGTGGCTGCCAAGTAGTAAAAAGCCCAGCAGCACCTTTAAGACTAACAAACTTTATTGTAGCATAAGATTACAAGAAACACAGCTCTCTTCGACAGAGAGCCGTGTTTCTCAAAAGCTTATGCTACAATAAAATGTGTTCGTCTTAAAGGTGCAACTGGGCTTTTTACTATTAAATGCTGCAGAATTCCATAGCAGGATCCAACTTAACAGCAAACTGTACAGAGTGGTATGGACTGCGCTCCCTAATAATTTTTCGAAAGTAACTTTGAGGAAGAAGAAGAAGAGGAGGAGGAGGAGATTGGATTTATACCCCGCCCTTCACTCGGAGTCTCAGAGCGGCTTACAAACTCCTTCCCCTTCCCCTCCCCACAACAGACACCCTGTGAGGTAGGTGGGGCTGAGAGAGCTCTGAGAGAACTGTCCTTGAGAGAACAGCTCTGACAGAACTATGGCTTGCCCAAGGTCATCCAGCAGCTGCAAGTGGAGGAGTGGGGGAATCAAACCTGGTATTTTTGGCCACTGTGTGACACAGAGTGTTGGACTGGATGGGCCTTTGGCCCGATCCAACATTGACGTCTCTTATGTTCTTATGTTAAACCTGGATTAGAGTCCACGCACTTCACCACGACACCAAACTGGTGCAACTCTCTTCCCTTCCTTGAAAAGCTGTAAAATGGTTGGCCATTTCCCCCTCTGAATCCCATCCGATCCAAAGGCACCACCTCCACCCCGCGCACGCCTTAAGCATCATCCCGCAGGCTGGTTCCCTGCAAAGGTCCCATTGAATGAACTGCTTTGCTTTTAGGGAGGCTCTCATTCACCTCGATGAGTCACGTGGAGGGGTGTGAAGAGTTGATGGGCGTGTGTGTGGGGGGGAACTGAGCTCACCATCCACTGCTCCCTCTAAGCTGTGGAGCCCTGTGAGCAAAAATTCTACCTTGTGGTCTTCTGGCATTAAAGTCGTGAGCGAGCGATTTGGCTACTGCATACATTAATTTGCTCTGGAGCCCCCTCCTTTCCTGAGCTAAGACAGTAATCTGTGAGCGGGAGGCTAAAGAACTGTGAGATGGCTCAGACTAACTCAGCTTAGAGGGAACACTGCTCATCATAAAATCTCTCCACCACCACCACCCCGGCAGTATAGAATTTGCCTTCTGCAGAGGTGGAAATAACCAACCGTCTGGCTTCAGGCATGAGCAACTGCCGGGAGCTTGTCTTGGCTTCCCAGTGCCAGGCCGGAAGGATCTGTGGCCATCCACAAACACCCACGCTTCAGTGTCCTGTGCCTGGTTCTGTGTGCGCTTTGGCAGGGTTTGGCTGCACCGGGGCCCGAGCCGCGGACTCTCTTTCCCCTTGCTCGGCCTCCAAACACAGGCCTTTGAGCAGAGATAATTTTAGAAGTGGGTGTTTTTCCGTGAACATCGTGTTCTCGGCAGTGGAGTTCCACCGGGGCAACTTGCCCATGAATGATTCACAAACTTTTTCACTGTTGCTCTTTTTAAAAATTATTTTTACTGACTCTCCGGCCATCAGAGCCTTGGCCCTTGAGCGGGTAAGCGAGGAAACCCAGGCTTGGCCCCGAATCCTTCGTTGGACTTCTCCTGCGGATCACTGCCAAAGGCTGAGGCTTCCTCTGGAGAAAGCCAAGTTGGTGGCGCCGATCCTTGCAAAAGGGAGGGCATCCCCGTGCAATTGTTTTTAAGAGGGAGAAGGGGGTTCTTGTTTCAAAGCTGAATTCAAAAACTTGTTTCAAAGCTGAATTCTAAACTCTTTCC